AGATGTAGTTTATCAAAATAATAAGTTTCTTTAAAAATTGCTTAACATGAGGCAATACTGGTGTGGAGGTTGAGGTGGCTGAATACCACATGGCAGACTCCATGGTTCGAGTAGTCCTTGACCTGGCAGCTTGAAAATCATACTGGGTGTGAGCACATGTGTACCCCAAATCCCTAGAGGAGAATGGATGAGAAGGGATGGCAGTGTGGCCATTCCCTCCTGGGGAGTGATTTCTCATATTCTTTCTTACTCCCTGTCTCTCCCTGTCTCTCTGGTGAGCACATATGTGCTATGGCAAAAATCTTAAAAAAAGAAAAAAAAGAAAAAAAAATTTAACATTTAGTAATTTTTGCAGTTATAAATTTCCAGGGACTAACAGCTTGGTAAACAAACAAAAATAAGTAACAGCAAAGAAGTTATAATTAATGAGTTCTGTTAAAAAAAATCAGAGAGGATTACTATCAAAGATGGCAAAATAAAAAGGAAGGTTTGAAATGGCTCTAAAATTTGAAGGGTTAATTTAGGTTACTATTATATAAGGATATGAAAATTCACTGTTACTTAATTAGCTGGCTGATGTAACTTGAAAAGGTAAGCTATATTAAAACCTAATAATCCAGGGCACTACCCTGGGCTTCTGAAGGTCATGAATCTTTCACCATTCAAATTAAGGTTACATTACCAACATTGATCTTTTCTCATGCTTCATTTCTGCTATTTAATTAAAAATGCTAATAACCCACAGGCCAGACAACTTTTTAGAAATAGGAGAGTATTAAGCTACAGAGAGAACGTTATTTGAACAGGTTCCCTGACATATTTGTTGCATTGTCTTCAGTCTTTTTCAGATCCTTTGAAGTGGTTTCCTGGTACGTTGACAAGTGATGTGGAAAGCATTGTGTGCACTGTACCTAGATCAGCCATATTCTGGTATTCACCATCAATTATATGCAGCTTAGTGACATTTCAGTCAATACTGCACTGTGTATATGACGGTGGTCACATAAGATTATACCATGTAGCCAGGTGTGTAAGCACACTCTATGCTGTTCAGACAACAGTGGAATCACCTAATGATGCATTTCTTCAGATGTTTTCCCATCGTGAAGTGATCATGACTGTATACCCAAGAGTTTATAACAAATCTGTTGGGGCTTTCCAGTACATGATGTTCAAGGACAGGCTAAATCCAAAAGTATATCTTTGGCACTGGAGACCTACTGAATTCTCAGAACTTGGAATCTTTGGGTTTCCCAGAGTTCCTGATTCAGTTTTAGGCATTTTCTACTATATTACCTGAGCTAACAGTGGCATGGGTCAAGAAGCCATCTCAGAGGACAACTAGATAGAGAAAGCTCCATGCTCAAGGGGGTTTATATCTCCTATTCAGTTGATGAAAACTATCCTTTAAAGCTACATTTCAACACTTTATTTAAGGCAGGGACAGTAGATGGTATAGTAGTTATATCGCTGGACTCCCACATGGCTGAAGGTTGTTCAAGTCCTGGACTTGGTAGCTTGAAACTCAACGTCGAGTGCATGTGCATGCATGCTCAAGATCTTGGGAGGAGAATGGAGGAAAAGGGATTGTGGAATGACCATCCTCCCTGGGAGGTGATTTCTCAGTTTTTCTCTTACTGTCTCTCTCTCTCCAGCGAGCCCAGGTGCCCTATGCCAAAAATCCTCTAAAAAAAAAAAAAAAAAACCTTTGGGGCCAGCAGATGGCATGGTGGTTAAGGTGCTGAACTCCTACATGGCTGACCATGGTTAGAGTCCTGGACCTGGAAGCTTGTTTTCTCACTCCTCCCACCCCCCATGTCTCTCTCTAGAAATATTTTAATAATACCCTGACAATTGCACTGAATATGCAAGGAGTCTTCAAAAAAGTTTGTGGAAAATGTGTAGTATGAAAATCTGTGTATGGTTTTCAAAACATTTTTGCACCAAAGTAAACTTATATTTTAATTCAATTTTTTCCATGAAATTTCTGAAGTTCCCTGATATTTACAATAATCAACTCATATCTTGTTTTCCTGAAAATCAAATTTAACTGCGTGTTCCATATTTTTATTTGTTAAATCTGATAACTGTAACTCAATTTCATTATACTAATAACAGCCAGCAATAATACCTACACAGCACCAATGACACCAGGTGTTTTATGAGCTTCTGGTCCAGTTACAGTTTTACCCATTTTCTTGGTAGTGCAATGCTTTGCCATGCTGGAAGCCGCATGGAAGACTGGGTTTGGTTCTAAGTCAAGCTGGGTATGCCAGAAGTACACATGTGCCTATGACCCTGCTGGTTGGGAAGGCTGGGGGAAGCTGGTAGTATGAAATCCTGTTGAGGGTTCTCTGCCCCATCTTTCTTTCATGAAAATAAATAAATAAACTTTAAAAAATACTTTACGTGTTTTTAACTCTTCTAGTAATCTTATGAGGTAAGCATTGTCCCCATTTTTCAGGTGTGAAAGTGAAAATACAAAGGAATAATGTAGACTTTCTCTCATGACATTGAGTATCTCAGAGCTGAATGCCTGGTGGCCAAGATGGGTAGGGCCAAGGTTTTCCACAGAAAACAGTTCTAAGCTGCTTGAACATGAGAATGAATTCTTAATAAAGGCCCTTAACAATCTTTGGCATGGAGCACTGTTGGATAATTTTATTCTGGAAAATATTCACAGCAGGTGTTACCAATTACCTCCATAGAATATTGAATTTAAATTAAATTCTGGGTGAACTTTCCAAGATAAACTGGCTACAATGCATGCACACCTCTTAGTAGCTGGAATACTTGTCCCCTCCAAAATTCATGTTGGAAACTGATTGTCATTGTTAACAGTCTAAGGCAGTGGGACATCTGGGAGGTGATGGGGCCATAAGGGTTCTGACCTCTTGAATGGATGAATGTCACTGCTCTTAGTAGCTGTTACGGATGGAATACTTGTCCCCTCCAAAATTCATGTTGGAAACTGATTGTCATTGTTAACAGTCTAAGGCAGTGGGACATCTGGGAGGTGATGGGGCCATAAGGGTTCTGACCTCTTGAATGGATGAATGTCACTGTCACATAGAGTGTCTGTTATAAAAAGTCAAATCTGGACCCATTTTATGCATGTCATCCCCTCCATCGTTCTCTCACCTTCTGCCATGGAATGACAGCAAAAAGCCCCTCGCCAGGTGCTGGCACCTTGAAACTGAACTCAGCTTCTAAAACTTTGAGCTAATAAACTAATGTTCATTATACATTACAAACTCTCAGGTATTCTTATATGAAATCCTAAATGGACGAAGAAAGAAGTCGAATCATTTGACCTGCTATTTGCTTGATATAAGCTATAGAAGTAAGTGTCATCAACTGTCAAAAGGAAGAATTCTGTTTTAATGTCATTTCTTTTACCATGTACCTCTCAAGTGTCAGATCTAGGAAGCCTAAAGATACATAAGACTGAAAGAGAGGGAAAAAAAGGACACATAATGAGGTAATTTAAGTGCACTACACTGGATTTTAGGTTGGAAGCATACACAGAAGGTATATAAATGCAGAGCAGAGTAGGGTTTTCCATCTCAAGATTAGGAGACTCTAAGAGTTTTCCCGGAGGAGGTGATGGCTGAATGAATCCTAAAGAACGAGAAAGTGATCTTAGAGCAGGAAGCTGGGAAGGTGTTGTAGGTGAAGCGGACAGAATGAACCTCGCCTCTCATCATTATTAGGCAGCTGTACCATCATCCTTTGAGCATGTTCCCAGCATATGAAAACGAAGCCAAAGGGGATAGTCCAGAGAAGAACACCTGGCTCTGCGATGTCAAGAGACTATTAGAAGGAGTGCCGTTTTACTCTCCTTTTTCAAGGTTCTTACTTCAACATAATGTTAATAGTCCAGAGAAGAACACCTGGCTCTGCAATGTCAAGAGACTATTAGAAGGAGTGCAGTTTTACTCTTCTTTTTCAAGGTTCTTACTTCAACATAATGTTTTCTAATGCTGAAATCGCCGAGGCACATGATTAGGTCTCAGTATATGTTGAATGCAAAAAAAGGAAAGATCACAGAAGTCAGTGTTGCCTTTCCCCACTTTGTACTTTAAGAATTGTGCGATCTACACCCTTTAGCCATGATTCCCTCCAAGTGCTACAGTTTTAAAAGCTAATACACCTTCTCAAATAATTTCTCAAGTGTAGACATTCAGTATTAGGTGAGAGATCTTTAAAATACTTTAAAATGTGAATTCTCTCTAGTATTATCAACTCTATTAAGACTATGGCTAAGGAGTGCAAATACAGACTTTATAAAAAACTGGTATTGATGTTCATTGGCTATCCTGAAGCCATCATGAAAACATTGGTTTCAGCTCATTTAATTTTCCTCTTAAGGGTATTCTTATCCTAGGCCTGGATCCTGTTAACTAGGAAGGAAATGCTGACCATCTCCTCAACCTTGTGACATTTCTCTTGTAATGTGAAGTTCACAAAAAGCCCCAAGAAGAGGCTTAAATGATGTACATCAGACATAGAGCACTGAGCACCAATTAGCAACATTACCCAAGTTCATGCTTGGTTTTGTTTGTTTTCCTTTTAAGTTTACTCATTTATTTATTCCAGGAGACAGAGGGGGAGAGAGAGGGAGAGATCACTAACAGGGCCCTTATTCCATGATACATCCTCAGTCTCAGCTATCCTGGATCTTGGGCACAGGTATGTGCACCTGGAAAGGATTAAGGAAGTCCCAGGACAAACTCAGGACCTTTCTCATTTGAGTCCAGATACCACTGTGCCATTGCCTGAACCTTAGTTTTATTTTGTTTTGTTTCTTACAGGTGCACGTGCTTGCTGGAGGGAAACCAGCGTGGAGTTGAGGGGACACTAGGGTTGGGATGAGTGAGAAAGCACCCCCATGGAGGATGGTGACAAACTATTCTCCCTCCTTTTCCTTTCAGGATTTTGGGCATGTAAGCACACATGGCTGGTGTGTTACCCACACCATCGGGTCCAGGACTTGAACCATACAAGAGGTCATGTGTGATTTAGCCACCTTAACCATTGAGCCAACAGCTAGCCCTGGTTTTGTTTCTTACACAAAAATTATCAAACTGCTGAGTTTCTCCTCTCCTTCTCCTACAGAAAGATGATTGAAGTTGAAAACTGCTCCATGGAATCAACCTAAGTGCTCAGCAATTGATGAATGGGTAAGAAATTGCGGTGTATATATACACATTGGAATTCCATTCAGCCATAACAAAGGATAAACTCCTATCATTTGAGACAAAATGGATACACATGTAAAAAAATAATGTTAAGGAAAGAAATCAGGCTCTGAAAGACAAATACTGTATGTTCTCACTTAACAAAGACCATGTGTCCTCACTCTTTAGCAGAAGCTACAAGACGCAACTACACAGAAGTAGAGAGTGTAAGGCGACAGCAGAAGCTAGAAAGGGGGAGAGGGTCGGGAATGGGAGACCTTGATTAACAGATATAAGAGTACATGTGTTAAGAATGAATGGGTTATAAAAGAGCATAACACAGTAAAGAATATTGGCAACAATTCAATACATATTTCAAAATTGCCAGTAGAGCAAATTTCAGATGTGATAAATGTTGGCTATAATGAATATGTTTATATCCTTGAATGATTCTTACACACCCATCACGCTTTGCAAAACCACACAAACATGAACAACAATTATAGTTAAATCAGAGATTACAATAAAGAGCATGCACAAAGGGAAAAGAATTCTAATTCTATAACTTGAGTTGTTAGATGGAATTTCTTTTACCTATCTGCTTGCAAGTCTTTAATAATTTATAAAAAAAATGTATGGTACTTGGGATAGTATCCAGGAAACATGATAAATGCATCCTGTTGACCTGAATACATACAAATTCAGAAACTTAAAAACATTTAAAATGAAATTTCCACAGCCTTGTATTTTATAATAGGAATTGGAATCATTTGTACTTTTGGTACAAACATGACAGATCTGCATTATGCAAATGCACATATGTTCTTCCTATTGAGAGCCAGTGAAACCTCAAACAACTCTAAATAAGTTGCAAAGGCTCTAGTTCTGAATTGTTACATTTATTTCATATTTTACAACAATATCTGTGGTGATTTATTGGATCAGGACCCCATATTCCATGTAAAATCTTTTTTTAACCAAATAAAGATGATTTTACTGAATCAAATTAAGATAATATTAACATTTATGGACAAACTCCAAACTTTCTTTGGTTTCTAATAATCATATAGAAATAAGAGTACTACAAGAGTTCTATTAATACATTAACTTCTGTCAGAAGCCGTATTAGCAAGCATAACAAGAAAATATAAGAAAATAAACAGTGAAAATTGGACTTTGAAGACATCCATCATAGCTTATGGATTTTATTAAATAAATGCCAAAATAATTATATTACTGCAAAATTTTAACTAAATGTTTATTATTTATTTTGGCTTAAAATGAAAAAAACCAGAAAGTTTATAATATCTCATGTTCCAAAATTAATATATTTGATTTACTAAAATAAAAACATATCACAATGAATTAGGTTCACATTTGAAACTCACAGACTGACTTTGACACTGATTTTACAATTTGGAAACTCTTTTAACTTCTCAGAACCCCAGTTTTAAATCTGTATGAAGACTGACCTGGCAATTTTTGAAGTGTCTTCAAACTATGAAAGTTTATGATTTAGGAAACAGCTTTCGAAAACTACTAAGTGAACCCTATAACTATTCTTTTAGATCTATTCCAAAGGTCTAACGTTAAAAAAAGGGCCCATGATTCCAGCATGAGTCAGCGGGTTAGAGTGTATCCCTTAGACCAAGGACCCTAGTAAATGAGGCTTACTGCACTTCTCTGCCATGAGTAATAAAATTATTATTGTTTCAAATAACAGATACTATGTTCTCTTTTGAATTGCACTTGATTCTAGCCATAGAATCCCCCTACCCTACTTTTTACATTTTCAACCTGGAATTTTCTTGGAAAACGCACGTTAAGAACTCTAAGGAACAGCAGAGGGCACCAAAATCACAAGTAACACAAAAATGAAAATGAACTCAGAGCAAAAATCAAAGGTACACATACAATGTGGTATTCTTTGTTGAAAATGAGGAATATGGTAATATCCTTATTTGCTTATCACACACTGCATGTATGCTTTGAAAATCCATTTTGTACCCCACAAAGATGTACAACAATTAAATGTAAATAAATTATTTTTTAAAATGAAATTAAAAAAAGAAAGACTCAAAACATTGGCATCAAATACAGGGCCAGGAGTTCTAAGCTATGCAGCTAAGAAAATGAGCCAACTACAGTCTGGGGAGAACAACACATTTTTATGGTACTTGTGGGAAACTGCCAATGAAAATGGTTTACATTTTGTCTCAATATCCATTTCCAAATTAAATGCTGTGATGTTTATTCTTGGGTGTTGTTTGGAGGGATTTCATTCACTTTGGGACACTGTAGTGGAGAGAGGAGGCTGAACCAAGTTGCAACCCACTCAGGGCAGGTAATCAGGAATGAGGAAGATGGTTTTTGGTCTAAGAGGAATCACTTAAGGTGGGGCAGGTATAGCATGAAGGCTAGAGTCCTTGGGCTAGTGTCTGTACGCTTAGATGGGCTCATATGAGACATGGAAAAGGCTTCTGTGTCACTGGAGGGCACTGGTTTAGGACACATGGAGTAGAGGATCAATTTGAGTGACTGTGGGACAGAGCTGCCTACAACGAAGTCAGATCACTTAGCTACTTGAACTCCCTTCGCAGAGCTCAGGGATTTATGAAGGTGGTGAGAGGTTGGAGTTGATGAATAAGAATCTGTAATTCTAATGCATTAATTACACTTGTCATTATGTCAAAATGTAAAAAGTCTGATTTCCTTCTAGGAAACAAGTATGAGATTATAGATGCTTTTGAAATGCAAGCCCATTATTTCCAAATGACAGGTTATAATGGCTGTGATGAGCTCAGAGATCTGTTATTAAAGCAAACTAATCATTGTAATTGTTAAAATAAGTATAAGAATGATTAAGAATTGGCGAGTAGTTATTCCCTGCTGACACACATTGGATTTAGTGGGTGTATGGTTATTATATGCATATGCCCATGAAAGAGGACAGAGAATGAGAGACAGCACCCGTGCAGGGTCCCCACACTTCACTCCATCCCAGCCTCAGCCAGCCTGGATCACAGGCATGTGTGCTTTGCACCAGGCATGCTCAGGGAATTCTGGGATGCAAGGCCAGAATCTTTCCCATATGGGTTCAGTGCTGCTACCTCTGCACTACCATCTGGTCCTCAGACAAGCACATTTATATGCAGAGAAGTAGAAAATGGCTTGCAGGGAAGCACCATTCTTCTTATGAAGGCATCAGACCTGTTATCACAGGAAGTAAAAAAGAGTGTCTGGCTTGATTCTCTGGGTTGGAATTCAGCTCTGTAGTCTACTAGCTTGCCCTGAGCAACTGACACTATCTCAATGGCTCTCGAGTAGTCTCTGGAGCTGGAACAGCAGTATCACCAGCTGCATTACTGGCAACTTGGCAACTTGCTAGAAAAGCAAATTCTCTATCCTGCTCTTTCCCAATCAGAAGCTCTAGTGCTGAGACTCAGTAATTTATTTCTTTTATTTATTTTTAAAATGGTTTTTATCATAGGATATGTGTGCTCACTGGAGACAGTGAGAAGGAAAGTGAGAAATCCCCACAGGGGATGGCCATGCTGTAATCCCTTCTCCTCCATTCTCCTTTTGGGATTTTGGGCATGCATGCACATATGCCTGGCATGATTGTGAAGCTGCCAGGTCCAGGACTTGAACCACAGTCAGCCATGAGGGAGTCTGGTGCCTTAACCACTACCCCACCTGCTAGCCCCTCAGTAATCTATTTCAGTAAGCCCCCTGGGTGACTAACATCTGAGAAGCTCTCCTTATCTTGATGTGCCTCAGTCTTCTCATATAGAAAATGGGGACAAATAGGGTTATTGTGGCAAATAAATGTGCTAATATACACCTACAATGACTAAAGTGGGACACGGCACATGGTGAGCAGTGCTTAGTGTGCTCGTCCATGGCTACACAAACCTCAGCCACCTTTAGGGAAAAAAGGAAAGTTGGTCACTTGAATATTCATTCCATTTAGAAATAGAGAAAAAAGGGGCGTGCCAGGTTTGGGGGTTAAGGCCATTGCAGTCCTGGACCCAGCACCTTGAAAAACACTGTGCCCAAAATACCTAGAGGAGAATGAAGGAGAAGGGACTATAGCATAGCCATCTCCCTTGGTCGGGGGCTTCTTTCTGACTTTCTCTCTCTCTCTCTCTCTCTCTCTCTCTCTCTCTCTCTCTCCCCCTGATAAGTGCACATTCCCTATAGAAAGAAATTAAAAACAAAACAAAACAAAAAACAACAAAAAAGAAAACAAAAGAAAGAGAGGAAAAAGGAGAGTTGTTATTTTTGCTATGTGTGATCATTAAAATAATGAAACTCACTGCAATGTGGGGTAGAGAAATATCTGGGTTTCCTAAGCCAAGGCAACAGAAACTCCTAGGGAGAATGACCAGTTAACTGCTGTCAGAAGGCAGCCCTGGGGGCCTGCAGGGGATGTAGTGGTAGGGATGCTAGAATCTCACATGGCTATTGTGGTTCAAGTTCCAGACCTAGTGACTTGAAATTCATGCTGGGCAGGTGTGTGTGTATGTCCAAAATCCCAAGAAGAAAATAGAGGAGTAGGTATTGTGGCATGATCATCCCCTCATGGGCTGATGTCTCACTTTCTCTCTTTCTATCTGGCAAGCACACATACCCTATAGGAAAAAATTCTCTCTCTAAAAATAAAAGAAAACAACCTTGTCACCTTATCCACCACTGGGGTCAGCACACTTCACCCTCTCCTGCTTTCTGAGGGGCATCACTTGGTTGAAGGATGATTCACTCCAAACCCCACAGATGATTTTTTTTTTTTTACTGAGACAACAAAGGCATTGAGGAGCTTGATGTAAATGTCAGGCCTCGTGTCCACTGCCAGGACAGAAGTTTATTTGCTTTGCCATTCTTCTCAGCTGAGAAGTTGGAGATTAATCCAACCACTGGAATTCAGGCACTAAAGGGTCAGTGGATGCTCTCAGCTTTCAGTTCATCCTCCTGATAGGTCAGGAGTCTCTCCTGAGACACAG